CCCCAAAACCCCAAAATCCCAAAACCCCAAAACCCCAAAACCCCAAAACCCCAAAACCCCTCATATAATCTCTTTTGTTGAATAGCAAATATAGGAGAATATTATGAGACTTCGTCTTGGAAGCATTCGAAAATGAGGTCCCCTTCAGCATTCTCAAATTCCTTGATTCTATCCTCGCACTTCATTTCGTTGTATTCCATGGTTTGGGAGACATCATTTGAGACATCTTTGGGATGAAACATGTGGGCACAGAGGTCTAAGACGGTCTTTCTGTCAACTTCTGGGTTACCATCATTCTCTGATGTACTCAAGGAGTTGTAATATTCCACAAAATCACTGATTTTGTTAACAAAATCACAATATTCTATCTGTTGGCTGAACCTCTCTTTACTGAGGTATGAGAGACAGATCAGAATGTGCATCAAGACTGTAGAAGGAATGTTCTCTTTCAATAAGGAAAGTAGCTTAGTCATGATGTCCTTGGTAAGGTCGCTATCCTCCTCCAATTTCTCAAGAGTAGTCCCACAATGTAAGATGTTCGCAAGCAAGGCTGATGAAAAGTCTCTTGAGAAGATATGAATCTCATGCTTGATGCTCTTAAGTAGTAAGTTAAGGATCCAGTCAATCATCCCGTTCTCTACTAGAACTGGGATGACTTGCTCCTTGACAGATGTTTTCTGGAGGATGGCAATGCAAAATCTCTGTGTAACACTTCCATCTTCTTGGTCTTTAAGAATTTCAATAGTTCTACGGATGATCTCCATATCAATCTGGATCAAGTATTCGACTCCTTGAGGAGTACTTGCGATCACACTGATCAATGCGCAGATGGCATGTTTCAGAGCATGAGATGCAATATCTAGAAGCTCAAGTACAAAGCTGTTAGTTCCCTCCTTTGAGATCTGGAAGATGTCGTTTCTAATAAGTTCAGCAACAAGACTTCTTCTTTGCTCAGGAGAGATCTGCAGTGCATTAACTCTAAGACTGAGGAGGACTTCAATAATATTTTCCACATTTTTCTCATCTTTAGCCTTAATGAGTTTGATTTTGTGCTCTTGCATCACTGTCTCTGAGAAGAGTTCAGACTTTTCAGATTTTATCTCTGAAAGAAGGATTTTATGGTATTTTCCAAGCTGAATTTTATAATTTTCAATGGATTCTCCTAAGTTGTCCTGAGATACATTCCCATCTTTCAAATTATGCAAATGCTGCAAACAGTTAATGGCGATCGAAAAGATCTGTCTGGCTGAGTTCAGCACTGAGGAATGCTTGGACTGGAGTAACTTCATCTCCTTTTCAACCCTCTTTTCCCTGGCAGTTTTGTCAGAGTCAGCATCAAAGAATCTATAGAGTCTAGGAAATTCTTCCATCTGATCATCAGTAGGAGACTTGTTAATTTCAGTTTGGATGGCCTTCTTGGTGACATACTTGGTCCTTTCCTCAGCCTCGAATCAGTCAAGGGTGGAATTATATCTATTAAACTTTAGGAACTCCTTGATATATCCATTTATCTTTGTGAAGTCTTTCTTCTGCTTCTCCATGGTGGTTCAAAATTTAAATTTTATTATAACAAGGGGTTTTGGGGTTTTGGGGTTTTGGGGTTTTGGGG